CAAAATTTGTATTAAATTAATAATCCAAGAATTGGAACTATATAATATAATTTTTTCTTTGAATCTTTTCAAAAAGTTAGAACTTGCAAACTAAAATTGCAATTGATCTGAGCTTGTAATAAGAACAATTGAATCAAAACAACACATTTTACATCATTCATAATGACGATTTTAAATATCGATCGAATACTTTTCTCCTAAACGAAAAACTTGCACTCACCTTCTCAAAATGAGATAGCAAAACAGAATATTTAAATCAAATTTTACGAACAATTTACAAACGTGAAGGCATCGAATTAAGTTTTAAACCTAATAGAAAGCAGAAGCGTAGAAAATTGGTGTCGCAACGCGTTGGCGTTGGAATGGAATTTCGGTTTTAATGAATTTTCCAAACCCTGTAGAAAGCCTGCCGCGGTGTTAATTAAGGGTTGGCCGTCGAGCTCCATCTTCGACAGATCTGTCGATGGACGTTTTTCGTTCCGCCCTTGTATATTCGCTCGCGATTATCCGCCTGTCCCAGCGACATATCGGACCCTCCCTGTCGATTCGATGCTCCACCCGCGAGGTATTGGTCCAACGTCTGTTCGGGATTGGTAGAGTTAATCGAAGTTTCTGTTCGATGGCCATAGAATTGGGGGGAGAGTTTGTAAATGGAGACTATTCGAAGCCGAATGTTTTCTTCTTTTTTCCAAGGAAGGAGGGGATGGGGGTGATACTGCGAAGTGGGTCGAGGAGAAGGTGGTTGGGATGGAAAACGTTTTCGAGGAATCGAACCGCGGTTTGCGTGGAAAAATTCCGAAAAGTTAAGACCTTTGTTCGATGTCGTTGGAGATATCGTGCTCCTCTCGAGAATTTTTCAGTCTTGGAATTTAATTTTTTGACACATAAATTTTCTTGATTTTTGAAATAAAAAATGTAAGTGGTTTTTCCCCTCGTGGTTCTGACTGTTTGATAAAAATGAAAATGGAATTTTATGTTTTTGAAGTAAAATGAAATAGTCAATTATAAATGGAAAACATTTTAGGGGAAGGGAATGGGGGAAGCTTACATGGAGAAACGGGTTTTAATTGTTGAAAATTCGATTGCCAAGTTTCCGGAGTGAACACGGTTGTCACGGTGAATTAATTTTCTGTCAGTTTAAACGACAACCCTTATGTCAATTTCGAATCCATTAATGATAACGCAACTTGATCTGACTTTTTGTTTTTCATTTCACTCCAACGACCGAGTTTCGAGTCTTAAAAATCAGAGATCGAATATCGAACGAATAAAGATTCAATAAAATTACATTAAGGCACGATCAAGAATCTTGTTTGAGGATCCATCTATATTCAAATCCAATTAATTTTCTCACGGACAATTTTCAATTTGCCACGAATAATCCACATACAATAAACCCACGCAACTATCTTCCCATTTTCAATAATCGGGCAAATTGCGGAATCCAAATTCGCACAGATACTTAATACCTTCGAACAAATCGACCAACGAACCGATTCCTTCAATCCAACCAATCCGATCCATCGATATCTTTATACTCCTCGATTTAGAGGAATGAACCGATCCATTGTTCGCAGCGGGTGTTCGCCAAGCGAATGTTTCTTCGTTTCGTCAGACGAACGGGTCAATTTCGAATAATTCATTGTACGTGGGGCATGTAAATAGGAGCGATCCACGGGTTGATCTCCATTGCAAATCGCAACACACACTGTTGGAAAACAGGATTTTCGGACCTCGTTTCGTATTATACCCCTTGGAAGCGTATTCTCAACTCCATAGAGGCTCGCCTCTCCTCTCTCCCTCTGCTCTCTCCGCCCTCCCACTGCTCCGTTCCCTCGCGGGCGACCGATAAAAATTAC